GGGGGGGGGGGGCAGGAAAAAAGCATTTTTTTTTCTCTCACTTCATGCTCACAGATCTAATATTGTAAATAGGGGATGCCCAAGGAGGCATCCTCAGGAATGGGGGAGGTGGGGGCTGCCGTCACCCCCAGGGAGCCCCCCCAGAATGGCCAGGGTAGGGTGGGTAGTTACCGACAGCAAACTCCCGTTAGCGAATTTCCGCTCCTGCGCTTCCCGCGGGTACGGGTGACCCCAGGGAACGCGCCGCCGTCGCCCTTAAAATCCCAGTGCCGGCTCCAGAAGGTCGTTTGCTTACTCGCTTGCCATTCTGCAATTTTTATTCTCCTTCTAGGGGGTTCGAGGTCATTCGGTTGGTTGGTTTTTTTCCTAAGAGTGTTTGGTTTTTTTTTTTTTTTTTTTTTAACCCCTTTTTGCTTGGAAGCGTTTGCTGGCCGTGTGGGGCAGCGGCAGCAGGACCATTCCTGCTTCTGTGGTGATGGGTCCCGACTTTGGAGGGGGAGTGCTGGTCCTCGCAGGACCCCTCCCCAGCCCCACGCTTCCTTTGCCCTTGACACAGGTGCGTAAGACAAAAAAAAAAAAAAACCAAGAAAAAAAAGAAAGAAAAGGGAAAAAAAAAAGGCAAAAAAAGGCAACAACAACCCAGTAATTTTTTTTTTTTTTTTTTAAGATGCTCAGCATTTAAATATTATCTCCGCCCTTCTGGCAAATGTTTTTCCTTCATCTGTACCTGCTTCTCTGGGAGAGTTTTATTTCTCTGTTTGTTTCTGTATGAATTTTAGACACTGAGCTGAAAAGCCCTCCTGTCCAAAGGTACTGTATGTTTGAGCCTAAGCAATGTGAACTGTACAGACCAGCGGTGGGAAGTGGGAGCCAGCGACTGCACCTGGGGGGGCCGGGGCTTGGGATGGCATTCCCGGCTGCTCCGGGGAGCAGGAAGTGCTGCGTCGTGGGTTGGGGAAAAAAAATGAACTGTCTGCTGTGAATTCTTGGTTGGAAATGTGGAGAGGGGTTTCCATTAGATAATGTTTACATACCTCACCTGACGAACCTTTGAAAGTGTATATATAAAAAAAAAAAAAAAGAAAAAAAAAGAAAATAAAATTATATTAAGTTGCTTTAAATCAATATGTATAGCTATAAGAGCTGGGTCATTTGAACTTTGACTATGTATCGACTCTCTAAATGTTGACATTTTGTGAACTCTGTGCTCCTGTCTTTTATTTCACCCTAGCCTATGGAAGAAGTTGTGTTCTTGTTCCAGGTAAAAGGTCCCTGACTCAGATCTGAACTCCTCAAGGATTCCCACCACCTTGTTTTCTTTTCTTCCTCCACTGTCGATATTCACCCTAGGAGCTTTCTAAAGGTCCGTATTTTATTGCAGCTTATTAAACGTTTCTTTGATATCAACGATCATTTGGTGTGATAACTGGGGAAGGGCGAGGGTGAGTGAGTGCATGGAGGGGGGGGGGCTGGCACCCTCTGGATGGGACCCACACCCCTCTGGAGGGGGGGTACAATATAATTGCCCGGCTGAGATTGGAGTGTTCCCACACTGGTGGTGTGACTTTCTGTGACAGATTTGTGATTGTGGCACAAAAAGTGCAACCCCTCGGTGCTCCCCGGGGACTGCTGCCCCCTCTCCCCTTCCCCAAGACTCACAGGTGCCCAATTCCGCCCGCAGCCGCTCCATCCCCGCAGCGGGCACCGGGCCCTTCCCCAGGCTCAGCCCAGGCAGCGATGGTTCCTCCTGCAAGGCTCCTTTTGTGGGGATAACTCCCTGGAGAGGAGCCCCCAGCCCAGGGCCGTGTGTCCCAGCGCCACATGGGCAATGCTCTGCCCGGAGGAGGTGGCCAGGGCTGCTCCAGGAGCAGCAAATCATCACCCGTTGGCAGCACCAACGCTCCCCAGCCCGCGCCACCTCCTCACACTCCCAGCAGCTCCCGAGCACCGGCTGCCCCCCAGCTTCTCACCTCCAGGAAAGAAGAGGCCAAGCCTCTGAATGAATAAATGTCATGTTCACATGGAAGACAACATAGACAATACCAAACATCTCCTAAAACAATACAGCCTCTGCCAGCGGAAGGATGCCCAGCGCCTCCCTCGCCAGCCTAGTACAAACCAGCGTCTTCAACAGTGACACACACAAACCCCACGGGCCAAACAAAGCCACCGTCATTTTCCTGCCCAGTAGCATCTGTAAACAAAAAGAAAACATCATTTGTTGACCCCGAACATATAAAAATACTATAACAAAATGAAATACAAATATATATTAGAATCTGTAAGTATTCTGTATAAAGAGATACTTTAGCGGTTAGCTTACAGCGAGAACAGAAACACAACACAACCGAGCCCCGGCCAGGCCACGGGCAAAACCAGACGCGTCCCGGCTCCTCTGTGTGGCAGAGGGGGCTCCGGCAGAGAGGGCATTTGTGGCAGAAACATATCCCCGTGGTGGTGGGAATGTCCTGGATGCTGGTGGTGAGCAGGGATGATGATGGCACCCACAGAGCCAGATGCACCCGGTGGAGATGCCCCAGCGGGGCAGACCTGAAGCCGTGCCGTGGAGAGTTTGTCCACCCAGAGTGACGTGGTGACACACTGTCCAGCTGCGTGCAGTGTCCCAGGTCAGGCCCCCACCATCCTTGGCCTCCATGGGTGTAGAAGCGATGCTGCTGCGGTGGTCGGGTGCCCGCGGTACCCCGGCACGGGCTCCCCATGCTGTGCTGCCCCTGCTCCCACACCAGCCCAGCGTGGCCCCTGGCACTGCAGCCTTTGGGGAGGTGCTGCCCAGGAGCTGGCACCTGAGTCCAGGAGCTGGTGGGACCTGTCCCAGCAGCAGTGTCAGCTCAAGGCTTGAGGGCTCGGGCATCTTCAGCCTCTTCAGCCAGCGCTGGCACACGGAAGGCTGAAGCCCCGATGATGGGCATGGCAAACCCACACCCTGTCCGTCCGTCCTGGCAACCTCCTGCCCCCGCTTGATGGGACAGAGGGACATGGGGCACCCCTGCCCAGCTGCAGACCCCCCCCAGGACTAAGCCTGGAGGAAAGGGGGTCTTGTGCTGCCCCACACGGCTCCCACCTCCGAGCAGAGCCGCCTGGCTGGGCTGGGGGGATTTGGGGTTGACATTAAGGACACAGTGCTGGGCCCCACGGCACAGGGCAGGGACCCCCACAGACATCTGCACCCCACTGCCTGTGACCTGCTCAGCGTGCCTGGGACCACCCTGGTCCTGCTCTACCCAGCACAGCCCCGAGGCCACTAGACTGGGCTGGAGCTGTGCCCCAAAGCCCAGCCCATGGTGGGTCAGGCTGTGCCCATAGAGCTGGTGACATGTTTGGGGCGCTCCGGGGTGCAGCACCCTGGGCACGGCACTGGGGAGCTCCTCGCTGCAGCTGCCATTGGGGCGATGGCAGGTCCTCAGCAGGGAGGTCAGGGCTGCCAGAAGAGGGGACAGGGAGCCGGCCAGTGGGCTTACTGGGACCGCAGGATGCCGGCCGTACCGCACAGCCCTGGCTTCCCACAGCCCACGAGGCTCTGCCACATCAGGCTCCTCTGCCCCAGCAGCAGGTGACAGAAAAGCCCCCGGCTCACCTGGCTGGACATGAGGGACAGGGCTGCTGGGGAGGGGACACGCAGGGGGACACAGGCGCTGGCCTCGGGGGCTGCAGGGCTGCGCCGGGGGAAGGCAGAGGTGCCATGGGGAGCAGCTGAGCAGAGCGCCCGCCCCGTATCCACACATCTGTGTAGCTGCAGTTCTTAAAAAATCCTCTATCTACACATTTGCTTTGTTTGTGGGGTGGTTTGTTTTTTTTTTAAGTTTTCTTTTCTTTTTTTTTTTTTCTTTATCTTTCCCAACCCTCTAGATGCAACAGCTCTACCCTCCGCCGGGCTCCTCCGATGCGGCTGCGGTTCGGGCACACCCAGACAGTGGGACAGCGGCCGCAGGGCAAAGCGAGGTCCTTGGCTGTGGCGGGGGGCTGGGGGGGTCTCCCCACTGGCCCCCCTGGGCTCTCCGGGGCTGGTGGCCGCTCACAGGCACTGGCTGCAGCCGCACTTGGTGGGCTTCTCCACCTCCTCCACGAAGGTCGCGCCATTGCTGCACTCGAAGGCGTATTTCCTGCGCCGCAGCCGCAGCCCGGTGCAGCAGCCAGCGCTGGGACCCCCGCAGGACCCCCGGCATTCCACCCAGGCCACCGGCCGCGTCGTCTGGCAGATGGCGTAGCCCCGCTGCACCTGGTGGTAGTCCCGCACCGGCTCCCCGCGGCACTCTGGCTCTGTGGGACAGCGATGCTCAGCACGGTGGTCCAGCCTGGGGCTGCCCACCCACCGCCCCAGCACCTACCTTGGTCACAGAGGGCTCCGGCGTAGCCACTGTGGCACTCACAGACAGGCTGGCCGCTCGGGGTGAGGCGGCAGTGGCCGTGGACACAGGGCCGGCGGTGGCAGGGGTCGGGCGGCTCGGTGGGCTGGTTGCAGAGGGCACCCTGGTAGCCCTGGTGGCACTGGCAGCTGTAGGAGAGGGCGTCGAGGGGCAGGCACAGCCCGTGCACGCACCTGCGGGCACCCGGCACCGTCAGGCACCCGCTGGCACGGCATGGCACGGTGGCATGCATGGCCCACCAGCACCAAGTATGGCACCAACACCAGCACGATGCTGCCATGGCACTGGTGTGGCACTGCCATCATGGCACGGCACGGCCACAGCACTGGTGTGACTCTGACACGGCACCGTACAGCCCTGGCATGACTTGGTGGCACGGCACCACCGGCACGGCACCACCGGCACAGCACAGCACCACCAGAGAATGGCAGCACCACAGCACCCACCACCAGCAGCACCCAGCCCCATGGAGGGTGAGGGACCCCCCAAAGGGAGGGGTGGGAAGGGCTGGGAGTGAGGGGGCACAGCCAATGGAGAGGGCAGGGATGAGAGGGGTGGCCAGTGAGGGGCTGCCAATGACTGGGGCACCCAATGAGGAAGGGTCAGTCTATGAGCCAATGGGGTGGAGCAGTTGTGGGGGACAGCCAATTAGGTGGGACAGCCAATGAGGAAAGAAGGGGCAGCTAATGAGCCAATGGGGTGGGGCAGTTGTGGTGCAGCAGCCAATGAAATGGGGCAGTCAATGAGGGAGGGGCAGCCAATGAGCCAATGGAGTAGGAAAGTTGTGGTGGGGCAGCCAACGGTGGGGCAGTTGTGGTGCAGCAGCCAATGAGGTGGGTGGTCAATGAGGGAAGGGCAGCCAATGAGCCAATGGAGTAGGACAGTTGTGGTGGGACAACCAATGAGGAAAGGGGTGGTCAATGAGCCAATGGAGTAGGACAGTTGCGATGGGGCAGCCAATGAGAAAAGGGGTGGCCAATAAGACAATGGAGTAGGACAGTTGTGGTGGGGCAGCCAATGAGGAAAGTGAAGTCAATGAGCCAATGGAGCAGAGCAGCTGTGGTGGCACAGACAATGAGGTGGGGCAGCCAAAGACCCAATAAGGCAGGCGAGTCACTGTGGGGCAGGCAATGGGTCAGGACCGTTGCTGTGGGGCAGCCAACGGGGCAGCGCTGTTGCTTCAGGACAGCCAATGGGGCAGATGGGTCATTGTGGGGCAGGCAGAGGGGGCACGGCCATTGCTGTGGGGCAGCCTATGGGGAGGGGGGCACTCACTTGTGCCCCTGGCAGGGGCCGCCACGGGGTTGGTCGCAGTGGGGCCCGTCCCAGCCAGGCTCGCAGTGGCAGACGGGGCCCTGTGCACCGGCGGGCTGGCAGATGCCGTGCAGGCAGTAGAGCTTGCGGCAGGGCTCACAGCCCGGCACCACCCCCGGCGTCATCCGCGTCTTGGTGAAGTCCTGCAGCTCGTTGTTGATGTAGAGGTTGCGGATGCAGCCGTGGAAGCTGGTGCCGTTGAGGAGCTGCCAGAGGCGGAAGGCAGCCGAGTTGACGTCCACAGGCATCCCTGGGGAGAGCAGGACCATCAGTGTGCCTGGATGCCTCCTGAGAACCCTGTCATCCTCCCTGTCCCCCATCCTACCTCCCACATAGAGGGGAGCCTCACTGTTCAGTGTATAGTGCTTGCCCGAGTTGTCCATGGTCATGGGGCTGCCGCCATCGATGGAGAGGTTCACCATCTGATCGAAGGTCACCAGCTCCACAGTGTGGAACTGCCCGTCGTTGATGGTCTCAGCGCTGGCAGGGAAGGCTGGGTCACCAGGGACCCTCCACACCCACGCAATGGGGGTGGAGGTCTCCAGTGAGCAGGGTAAGGGTGACAGGTACCTGTAGATGGCCGAGCTGGGGTGGGTGCCAGGGTCGTAGCTGACCCTGACATGGCCCTGGTATAGCTCCACGGCCATGTGGTCACTGTCGCCGTTGTACAGCAGGATGCCATTGCCTTCAGCCGTGGAGACCTGGCAGTGGGAGAGGTGGGAGCCCACATTCCTGGGGCAGCACCCCTTATGCCACCCCCTCAATGCCCCCTGTGCCCCCCCCCGTCCCCAGCCCTCACCTGCAGGGTGATGTTGGCCCGGGGCCAGTCCTGCAGGTCGGTGAACTGCAGGTACGTGTCGCGGTCCACAAAGTTGACACTCAGCAGCTTCTCGCACTTGGGGCCGCCGAAGCCGGGCAGGCACTGGCAGAGGGCACGGGTGCCCCGCTCAACGGTTTTTTTCCCGTTCTGGCACTCGGCTCGCTCGCAGGGGCCGGGCTGGCCGGCGGCGTGGGGTGGCATCTCGCAGAGCTGGCCACTGCGGGGCCGAGGGTGCTGCTGGGCATGGGGCTGGGAAAGCGCCCTACCCACTGCCCACCACCCCACGGGGCTCTGACAGCACCCCTGACAGCACCCCCTTGTTTTGGGGTCTCTGAGGAGGGTCTGATGCCTGGTGGCAGCAGAGGGAGGCCTGGATGCTGAGATCCTTGGGATCCCTCTCCAGGGACACTGGTTTCCCTCAGCCTCCATGCCCAGAGACCTGCACCCCCAGCCCCACTCCTTCCTCTTGCTGGGGTGGATGGATGGGTGGATGGGTGGGTGGGTGGATGGAGGGATGGGTGGATGGAGGGATGGCTGTGGTAGCTAGGACTGCTCCCTCCTGCATGGTGACATGTAACTGTCCCTGCTATACCCGGTGCCCACCCCCGTAACCCCGGCAGTACCTGTAGCCCTCGGTGCAGAGGCAGGAGTAGCCGTTCACCTCGTCCAGGCAGTGGGCGTTGTTCTGGCACCGGTGGTCCTGGCAGTCGTCGAAGTCTTCGCTGCAGTTGCTCCCCACGTAGCCGGGTGCACACTCACACCTGGGGCAGGCGGGGGGGTTCATGGCCACCCCTTCCATCCTGCCCGCTGCTCCTCCCAGCACCCTCATACCTCCTGGCCAGCCCACAAGCTGCAGCCCCCCAAGAGCAAATCTTCCCTGCCAGGCAGCAGGGAGAGAGAGGTTTGGGGAGCGGGGGCTCACCTGGGCCCCTGGCTGGTGGAGATGCAGGTGGAGCCATGCTGGCACGGGCTGAGCTCGGCTGAGCAGAAATCCGGTGGCTGCTCACAGAAATCCCCTGGAAAGGCAGAAGATGGGGTGCCAGGGGGTGCCCAGCAGCTCCGGGACCAGAGGGGCAGCCCTGGAGCCCGTGGGCTCAGCTCGAGGCAGGGAGCCATCAAGCCCACAGCTCACACTGCCACGGGCACAGGACACTGCTCTGCCACAGGCAGGTCTCAGCCCGGCCAGGGAGCGGAGGCATCCCAGGGCATGGGGGCTCAGCTGGGCATACCCAGACCTCAGCCCCACGGGAGCCCAGAGGCCACGGTGATGGGCAGTGGGACAGCAGGCAGAGAAGCTATTAGCTCTCCTTGGTGGGAAGGGCACATCCCTGGGCACATCCAGTACTGGGCACATCCCTCTGCCAGGCTCGTGAGGTTTGGGGCAGGCCAGCCCCCCGTCCGGGTACCTGTGTAGTGGGCAGGGCACAGGCAGGTGTAGTTGGTGGCACCAGGAACGCAGGAGCCCCCGTTCTCACAGCTGTGCTCCTTGCAGGGGTCACTGATGGCTCGGCAGCTCGGACCCTCAAAGCCCACCGGGCACAGGCACCTGCCACAGGGCATGGGGAGATGTCAGGAGGTGGGAAATGGAGCATTTTGGGGTGATTCCCCCCAAAATGCCAGCACAAGACCCTGGTGGCGGAGCATTCACGCCAAGAGGCTCTGGGGAACAGGGTCCGGTGCCCCCCCCTGCCGAACACCGGGTGCAGGGTTGGGTGGGTGGGTGGGTGGCAACCCGCAGCCCCACCGGGAGCGCATGGCGAGGATGCTGAGTTGCCACGACAACGGGCTGAGAGGCCACTCAGTGCAGGGGCTGGGCGGCTGCGCAGCCCACCTCCTCGCCCCCGGCCTGTCATCTATTTTCAGCCACTAATTGCACCTCGGTTCCCGGAACGGCCTGAAGCATTCGGGGTAGCGAGGGTTGTGTGGGGGCACGGCAGCCCTGCGGGGGGGCAGGGGGGCGCATCCTGCCCTGCCCCACAGTCAGCCAGATCCCAACCCCAAATCCCGCTGCCCTCTGTGTCCCCATACCACCCCCACCCATGGTGGTGGGACCCCCTCTACCCCATGGCCCCATCCCCGGAGCCTGCAGGGCTGGGGGGCTCGGGGAAGCGGAGCCATTGCTCAGCCCTGCTGGTGCTGTGCTGGCAGGAGGCACAGGCAGGGCTGCAGAGAGCTGGAAGCAGGGGCTGGAGCTGCTGGGCGAATGCAATATCCCAGCTACATGCCCCGGGGAGCACGCAGGAAGGGAAAGAAGCACCAGACTCTATCCTCTGTGGGATGCCAGGGCTCCATGCCACTGCCCAAACACCCGTCTTTCGTGGGCTCCCGTCCAGCACTCACCTGAACCCGGCTCCTTCCCCCTCCTGGGGCTGGCAGGTCCCCCCGTTGGCACAGGGGTTGGAGGAGCAGCCACTGAGTGCCACTTCACAGTCCCTGCCCTAGGGAAAGACAGAGGGAGAGGTGGGAGGGAGGAGGGTACCACAGCACCATGTCCTGCTCCCCCTGCCCTGTCCCACTCGGGAGGGCTCTGCGGTGTGCAGGGAAGGGGGACAGTCCTGCAGGGAGCCAAGCCTGGGCATGGCAGAGCCCCCATGTTCCCCCCTTCCCATCCACAGGGGTGGGTCCCCCCGGCACTGGGGACCCCCGAGACCAGGGTACCTTGTAGCCACTGGGGCAGGCACAGCGGTAGGAGCCAAGGGGGTCGTTGTGGCAAGTGCCCTTGTTCTGGCAGGGGCTGGAGAGGCAGGGGTTGCACTTGGCCTGGACGCTCAGGGAGGGTGGGCCTGGAGGACAGGAGGCGCAGAGATGACCATCAGTGTGGGGAGTGATGGGGAGGTGTCCATTTGCGGGCACTGACATGGGGGGCAGACCCCCAGGCAAGGCTGGGAGGAGAGCCTGCCCTGCTGAGGGGCTGTGCACCAGGGAATGGGACAGCCACGTGCTCGCTTGGTCATCAGGGACGTGCCACCAGCCAGGTAAGGGGACAGAAGCTGACCAGTCCCTCTCCTCCACAAGGCAGTTCAAGAGATGAAATTCCAGATGCTCCAGGCTCATGGAGCATCACTCTCCCAGGCGTGGGGAGGTGACAGCCCCCGGCTCCTCTTCCCGCCTGATGCCCTGCCTGAGGAGGGCACGGAGGGACAGACAGACAAGCGCAGGCACCTCTCACCTTGGCACTCGAACTTCTTGGCAGGGGTGGTGAGCAGCAGCTTGCCTTCCATCTCGGGGGGCCCAGCACAGCGGGCGATGCCTGGCTCCTTGTACCCGGTCTTGACCCAGCTGGAGAGCCAGCGCAGGTTGCAGCTGCAGTACAGGGGGTTGGCCCCGATGGCTCTGCAAGGGAAGGAAGGCAAAAAACTGCACGCGCTGCCCCACGGAAGGAACGGGCTCGGAGACCTTGGGGCTGGACACAACTCTGTCACTCTGCTAGGCTGCCATGTGGTGGGGGGACCCGGCGCTCCTCCATTTCTGGACCCACGGGAGGTACTGCCCGTGATGGGAGAACTGGGGCACACAGCCCCACACCGCTGCCCAGTTAGACCACCCTGCTGCCAGCCAGCCCCACAGCCCAGGTGGTGCCCCGTGGCTCCCTGCTGGGGCTCTCCTCTGCTGCCTACACAGAAATCCTTGGGGATCCCTCCCCAGCACAAAATGGGTGAAGCACCTTGAGGTGCTGTGTAGCAACAACAGGACCGTTGCACGTGAGCTGCAGGGACAGCCTGGGCTCTGCCTGCAGGGCAGGGACATGTGAGCAGGTCATGGCCAGAGATCTTGGGGACAGCGTCAGGGGAGAGCAAGGAATTGCTCCGAGAGAGGAGGAGGAGGAGGAAGAGGAGGAGAGAGGGTTGCTCTGCTCCACAGCGGAGCAGGGATGGTGTGGGAGGCTGAGGGGCTGGATGCCTCTTTGCATCCTCCTCCACCGCAAAGGTGAGCAGTGATGGAGGGTCAGCACAACCCACACCTGTGGGGAAGGAAGGAAGGGGACGGCGGGCGGGAGGAACAGCAGATCTGCTGGGGCTGGAGAACCTGGTCCTGCAGCACCGACAGCGCCGGCTGGTGACACAGCTCAGCCCTGCGGGAACCGGCAGCGCCGACTGGCAGCGGCAGAGAGAGTGTCGCGCTTCATGAAGAGCCAGGGGAGACCAGACCAAGCAGTGATGCTCCCCAAAAAAATACAGGGAGGCCAGGATTAGAAATCAAGACGCTCCTCATAGGCTGGAGGAACAACCTGAGACCCACAGGATGCTGGCCACCGACAGGCAGGTGGGGACGGCTTAGCAGGGACAGGGAAGAGACTGAAGAGTCACAGTGAGCAAAGCTCCCCATCCCAGGAGGTGGGTACAGGTTTCCTCAAGCAGGGGCTGAAACATCAGCACGGGCAGGAGGATGTTTGGTGACAGATTTGGGGAAGGGTTGTGCAGGGAAGCACCCTGGCAGGAGGCTGATGACACACTGGGATGGGTCAGAGCAGTCCCTGCCAACCCACAGCCATGCCAGCATCTTGCATGGCTTGACCTGCATGTTAGGGGACCCTGGGACCCGGCGGGGTGGGAGGACCCCACATCACCTCCAGTAAGGACCACAGGGCCATCCCAGCTGCACTGAGAGACCCAGACTGGACCTGGGGGCTGAGTGAGGGGAGGGCAGGCACAGCACGGGAATGCCCCACAAAGGCTGCTCCAGGTCCTGGCCCAGAGAAGAGGACAGGAGGCAGCTCAGCCCCCAGAGAAGCTGGGCTCAGCCCCGAGGTTTTTAAAGGTCTCCCAAGCCTGTGTCCAGCCCTGAACCCTGCGGAGTGGGAGGTACTCACAGGTGGGACAGGGAGGTGACGTCTGCGAAGATGCCCTCAGGGAGGCTGGAGATGTCATTGCCGTGGAGAGACCTGCAGAGAACAGAGGGTCCTGCAATCTCCATGGCTCCTGGGTGGGCCCACGGGCAGCTGGGCTGCCCCCACCCCACGGGTCCAGGTGTGGGTGGCAGAGCCAGACCCCATCACTCTTGCCCCTGTTGCCTGAGGTTTTTAAAGGTCTCCCAAGCCTGTGTCCAGCCCTGCACCCTGCGGAGTGGGAGGTACTCACAGGTGGGACAGGGAGGTGACGTCTGCGAAGATGCCCTCAGGGAGGCTGGAGATGTCATTGCCGTGGAGAGACCTGCAGAGAACAGAGGGTCCTGCAATCTCCATGGCTCCTGGGTGGGCCCACGGGCAGCTGGGCTGCCCCCACCCCACGGGTCCAGGTGTGGGTGGCAGAGCCAGACCCCATCACTCTTGCCCCTGTTGCAAAAGCACCCCTCTGCTCCAAGAGGCTGGTGCATCTCCCCTTGCTCCTCCTGCAGCCTGTACCCTGCCCACCCGCCCGCACCCAGCTCCACGTGGGCACAGGGGACACAGGAACAGGGGCTGAGGGGGGCTGTGAGGGGGGATGCAGGTACTTACAGCAGCCGGAGGGAGCGGAGGCCCTCAAAGGCGAGCGGAGGGATGCACTGCAGGGAGTTGTAGCTGAGGATGCTGCGGAAGGGAAGGAAGAGGCATCACAGCGCTGGGGGCACTGCCGGGGGCACTGCCAGGGGCATTGCCACACGCTCCCGGGGACTGCACTTACAGGGTGGTGAGCTGGCTCATGTTGGTGAAGGAGGAGTTGCTCAGGGAGCTGATCTTGTTGTTGCTCAGGTCGCTGGAAAACAGAAACCCCGGGGGCTGGAATGGGCTGGGCCCCGTCCCCCCCTCACTGCTCCCCCAGCTGCTCAGCTGCAAGGGGGTGCGAACAGCAGCACGGCCCCCAGGGGAGTAGCAGGGCTGTCACACAGGGTGATGGCAGCAATGCCACTGTCACCCCTCTGCTCTGGGGTCACCCCTCCAGCAGAGACTGTGGGCACCCAGGGGCTGAGCATCACTGACAGCCAGCTGTGTCCCGGTGCAGAGGGGGGGACACAGAGGGATACTGGGGGTCTCTGCCACAGCCAGGCCCCTCCTGAGGACCCTGTCCTTGCCCACAGGTCCCAGCAGAGGGATCAGCTGCTTGGGCTCCTGCTCCTGGCTACTTACACAAGCTGCAGGTACTTGAAGGTGGAGAGCTGCCCGGGGACCTGAGTGAATTGGTTTCCATCCAGGTAGCTGCAGGGAAGAACAAAAGCACCTCGGGGTGGTGCAAGGAAGAAGCAGGAGCTCCCTCTCTCTACCCTCCTGGTTCTTCTGTGCAGACATCCCTAAGGACTTTGGGCTGCGATGGGCACCCCCAGCATCACCTCCCTCCCAGCACACAGGTCCCATGGGGGTCTCAGGGGACCCCTGGGCCAGTGGGGGGGCTGGTGTGTGAGCACAACAGCCGACCTGGGGGCTCTGCATGCGGGTCCCCAGGGGCAGCCTCCCCACAGCCTGTGTGTGCCAGCGCAGCCAGCCCTGTGCTGCGTTTACACGTCCCACCCAGGGATGTGTGAGAGAGAGCTGGGGACTCGGAGAGAGAGGGGTGTGAGACAGTGATGGGGTGCGAGGGGGTGGCATAAATACAGACGTGCACAACCAGTGCCCACAGCCCCCACCCCATTTGGGTGCAGAGCCCCTTTGGCAGCGATGGGTACCATGGTGCCCACACACCCTGACCTGGCACGGCTGCTTGGGCATCTCCCTGACACCCAATGCTGATGGGGACGTGGCCCCAGGAAAACCACATCCTGTTGCCCCCATGCTCAGAGCTGGGGTTGCCAAGAGCATCCCCACCACCGTGGTGAGAGGTGATGGCAGAGAAGACCCAAGGAGCTGGCAGAGGCAGGGTGGCCCTGTCCCTGTCACTGATGGCAGGCTGCTGGGGACGGCAGAGCTCTGGGCTCCTGTGACAACACCCCTTGCACATCACCTGTGGTAGCCCTGGGTGGGCAGAGAGGCTCTTGCTGAGCCCCTCGCTGGGGTCGGGGTTGGACAAGGTCCCTTGGCTGGGTGGGGGTCCTGCCCCCACTGCCCAGCCAGGATGAGGGCTCTGCCCCAAGCCCAGCATCCCCGCAGCACAGACCCCCTGTGCCCAGAGCCACAAACTTGCTGGAAATCAGAAGGATGAGCCTGGGCACCCACACCCCACTCACAGCTCCGTGACGTTCTTGGGGATCCCCTTGGGCAGGGCTTTGAGGTGCTTGTTGCTGCAGCGGACGACGGTGTCAAGGCAGGTGCACTCCTGTGGGCACTGGGGCCGGGGGACGCAGGTGGTCTCCTCCTGACCTGCACCGGGCACAGAGAGCCACAAAGTCACCGTTTTCAAACAAAAATGCAGTCCCCAGTAGTTGCCAGTGAGAGGACAAGGGGCAATGGGCACAAGTTGGAACATAAAGGGTTCCACTTGAATATGAGGAAGAACTTTTTCACGGTGAGGGTGACGGAGCCCTGGCAGAGGCTGCCCAGGGAGGGTGTGGAGTCCCCTTCTCTGGAGATCTTCAAGACCCGCCTGGATGCTCCTGAGTAACGTGCTCTGACAAGCTCTGGGTGGTCCTGCTTTGGCAGGGGAGTTGGACTAGATGATCTCTATGGTCCCTTCCAACTCTAAAAATTCAGTGAAATTCAGTGAAATTCAGTGAACAGCAGAGAGGAGGGCGCAGAAGAAGGAGCTCAGAGCTCCTTCAATCGTGGAAGGAATTTTCCATCCAATTTTCAGGATGGAAATCATCCCGAAATATCCTCCTTCTCCCCAGACACGGCGCTGGGCTCCTGCGGGAGAGGCGTCCCCGGGACGACCGTATGTTCTCTCGCACCACTCGGAAAGGCGCAGGATGCAGCCCTTCAGGCTTTGACGTGGTGGAGGAGGGAAAGCAGAAGAAAGGATGATTTGTTTGTAAATATTTTCCAGAGGGCTCAAAAAGCTGTTCTATATTTAAAAAAAAAAATTTAAAAAAGGCTTTTTATTTTCTCATCACACACACACTCTCCACCAGCTCCGTCTGCCCAGCTCTGGCGGGTGTGTGGGGCTGGGACAGGAAAGAGGGAAGGAACAGGATGAATCCCAGTGAGTTTTGCAAACTCTGACTTCCACGGAGCAGCTTCGGAGCAGCTCGTAGGTATTTGAGTGCAGCCCTGAGGGCTGAGTACCACCAGGGGAAAGCTGTGCATCGTTAGGGCAGGGTGTTAACGGGCTGAGGGACCCCTTGAGCATCGTTAGGGCAGGGTGTTAACGGGACCTCTCGAGCTACCAGCTTGCCGCAGGGTGCTGCTGGACATCCCAGGAGCAGGGATGGGGTGTCTGAGAAGAGCAGCCCGGTCCCCCCTTGCCCCTGTGAGTTACCTTCCTCACACCTGAAGTCGGGGAAAGCCACATCCTGGAGCGGGATCTGCCGGAGAAAGTCGGGGTTTTGGCACCGCGGGTTCCCCGTCACGATCTTCCTCTTGCGCAGCCAGTCCCCCAGCCAGGCCAGCTGGCAGTTGCAGTTGAAGGGGTTGGCGAGCAGGTTCCTGCACATGGGAGGGAGTGTGAGGGCATCACCTCAACAGCCACCAGGCAAGGGCACCCCCTGCAGTCCCCCCTCCCCACCCCCCCACCGCGATGGGGACAGCCTGGGAGCATCCCCCCCAGGGCCCCAGACGTACAGCGTGGAGAGGGACTGCAGGGTGTCGAAGGCACCCGGCGCGATGGTGCTGATCTGGTTGTCGTAGAGGGAGAGCAGGCGGACGTTGCGCAGCCCCGTGAAGCTGTCGTTGTGGATGCAGCTGATGCGGTTGTTCCTCAGCATCCTGCGGAGGGAAGGGGACAAGGGCACCTAAAAACCCCGGCAGGTGGCAGGGGGGAAAACCCACCTTGGCAGTGCCGAGGCTGTGCCCACCTCAGTGCCAGGCAGCAGGATGAGCCTGAGCCAGTCCCTGAGCAGCCAAAACCTGCCCCCCCCACCCCCAGCAGATGGGTAAGGCGCTCCCGAGCTGGCCCTGAGGTGGTGCAGAGCAGCCTGGCAGCGTGGGCAGGGCAGTGTGGGCAGGAGCAGGAACTTCCCCGTCCTTGTGCCCACGGAGGAGTGGGGACTCACAAGGTCCTCAGCCCATCCAGGCCCCTGAACATGCCGCTCCGCACCGACTCCAGCTGGTTGACGGTGAGGTGCAGCTCGCTGACGGAGGATGCCCCCTCGAATGCCCCGTCCTCGATCTCCGACACCTTGTTGTTGCTGAGGTTGCTGTGGAGAGGGGAAAGCAGGCTGGGGTGGGAGGCTCTGCCCCAACCTCATCCTGAACCTGGCTCCCCCAAGGTTCCACTGAGCACCCTGTGAAGCCAAGTCCCTTGGGGGACCCTTGGATGTGCCCCCCATTTCCCACCCCAGGCTGCCCTGGCATCAGAAACCCCTGTGCCTTCCCAGCCCCCAGGCACTCCTGATGGGGCTGTGCTGCCCGATACTCACATTTTCTTCAGGTGTGGGAGTTTCTTGAAGATGCCAGTAGCCTCCAGGACAGAGATTTCATTGTTGTTCAGGCGCCTGGGGTGGGTGGCAGGGCAAAGAGCTCAGGGGATGGCTGCAAAGGGTCTGGCACACACCCTGAGCCAAACCCCAGCACCAGTGATGCTCCGGCTGCAGGAGGGAGAGCAGGGTGGGAGGGAGAGCAGGGTGGGAGGAGGCTCTTACAGCTCAGCCGTGGACTGCGGGATGCGCTCCGGGATCTTGGTGAGCTTCAGGTTGGAGCACTCGACCACGTTGGATTCACAGCGGCACTTCGGGGGACAGATCACGTCGCTGTTGCACTCGCTGTTCAGCTGGTAATCCTCTGTCCCTGCGCGCCGAGAGGGCAAGGTGGGCTCCCCTTCTCCCATGCTCCCACCCCCCCAGCTAGCCTCTCTCTCTTCCCCACCTCCCCTCATCCCGGACACTCTGCACATATTACTCCTCTCCATGCCCAAAGCACCTTATCCACAGGGATATTTGTCTTGGGTAGGTGGGGTGCTGCACTGCCCACCACCTCCCTCCCCTCCTGCAAACAAAGCCAGACCCTGGGGACACCTCCGTGCCCATCCAGATAAAGGCACAATGGGAGATGCTGCAACACGTCCTGGTACCCAGCGCTTTTGTTAGTGCAGCACCTGGGAACTCAGCAACTGCACATATTACTCCTCTCCATGCCCAAAGCGTGGAGATATCCACAGGGATATTTGTCCTGGGTACATGGGGTGCTGCACTGCCCACCACATCCCTCCCCTCCTGCAGACAAAGCCAGACCCTGGGGACACCTCTGTGCCCACCCAGATAATGGCACGATGGGAGATGCTGCAACACGTCCTGGTACCCAGTGCTTTTGTTAGTGCAGCACCTGGGAACTCAGCAACTTCACTCTCTACAGCTCCCTGAAAGGAGGGTGTAGCCAGGGGGGGTCGGTCTCTGCTCCCAAGTCACAGGTGACGGGACAAGAAGAAACAGCCTCAAGTGGTGCCAGGGGAGGTTCAGATTGGAGATTGGGAACAACTTTTATATGGAAAGGGTTCTAAAGCCTTGGAATGGGCTGCCCAGGGAAGGGGTTGAGGCCCCATCCCTGGAGGGATTTCAAAGCCGGGTTGCCACAGTGCTTAGAGCCACGTGAGGTTGGTGGTTGGACTGGATTATTTTAAAGGTCCCTTCCGCCCCAGACAATTCTATGATAACCAGAAACAATGGGAAACACCAGTGTTCCTGCCGGGGCAGACTGTGTGGGGCTCTGGCCCAACCACCCCTGCAGGCAGCCTGGCCAGAGAGGGCACCATGCACCCACGCGTGTGTCTCCTCCTCTTACCTGGGATGAAATACTGCTCTTTGGCTGTGGAGAGAAAAAAGCACATCAGCACCCCGAGCGCAGGGCCACCAGGCTGGGGCAGGGCTGAGGACAGCCATGCCACCGGGCCCCCATGACAGGGACGGGGACCAGCTCTCATGGGGACAGCCTGGGAGCATCCCCCCCAGGGCCCCAGACGTACAGCGTGGAGAGGGACTGCAGGGTGTCGAAGGCACCCGGCGCGATGGTGCTGATCTGGTTGTCGTAGAGGGAGAGCAGGCGGACGTTGCGCAGCCCCGTGAAGCTGTCGTTGTGGATGCAGCTGATGCGGTTGTTCCTCAGCATCCTGCGGAGGGAAGGGGACAAGGGCACCTAACAACCCCGGCAGGTGGCAGGGGGGAAAACCCACCTTGGCAGTGCCAAGGCTGTGCCCACCTCAGTGCCAGGCAGCAGGATGAGCCTGAGCCAGTCCCTGAGCAGCCAAAACCTGCCCCCCCCACCCCCAGCAGATGGGTAAGGCGCTCCCGAGCTGGCCCTGAGGTGGTGCAGAGCAGCCTGGCAGCGTGGGCAGGGCAGTGTGGGCAGGAGCAGGAACTTCCCCGTCCTTGTGCCCACGGAGGAGTGGGGACTCACAAGGTCCTCAGCCCATCCAGGCCCCTGAACATGCCGCTCCGCACCGACTCCAGCTGGTTGACGGTGAGGTGCAGCTCGCTGACGGAGGATGCCCCCTCGAATGCCCCGTCCTCGATCTCCGACACCTTGTTGTTGCTGAGGTTGCTGTGGAGAGGGGAAAGCAGGCTGGGGTGGGAGGCTCTGCCCCAACCTCATCCTGAACCTGGCTTCCCCCAGGTTCCACTGAGCACCCTGTGATGCCAAGTCCCTTGGGGGACCCTTGGATGTGCCCCCCATTTCCCACCCCAGGCTGCCCTGGCATCAGAAACCCCTGTGCCTTCCCAGCCCCCAGGCACTCCTGATGGGGCTGTGCTGCCCGATACTCACATTTTCTTCAGGTGTGGGAGTTTCTTGAAGATGCCAGTAGCCTCCAGGACAGAGATTTCATTGTTGTTCAGGCGCCTGGGGTGGGTGGCAGGGCAAAGAGCTCAGGGGATGGCTGCAAAGGGTCTGGCACACACCCTGAGCCAAACCCCAGCACCAGTGATGCTCCGGCTGCAGGAGGGAGAGCAGGGTGGGAGGGAGAGCAGGGTGGGAGGAGGCTCTTACAGCTCAGCCGTGGACTGCGGGATGCGCTCCGGGATCTTGGTGAGCTTCAGGTTGGAGCACTCGACCACGTTGGATTCACAGCGGCACTTCGGGGGACAGATCACGTCGCTGTTGCACTCGCTGTTCAGCTGGTAATCCTCTGTCCCTGCGCGCCGAGAGGGCAAGGTGGGCTCCCCTTCTCCCACGCTCCCACCCCCCCAGCTAGCCTCTCTCTCTTCCCCACCTCCCCTCATCCCGGACACTCTGCACATATTACTCCTCTCCATGCCCAAAGCACCTTATCCACAGGGATATTTGTCTTGGGTAGGTGGGGTGCTGCACTGCCCACCACCTCCCTCCCCTCCTGCAAACAAAGCCAGACCCTGGGGACACCTCCGTGCCCATCCAGATAAAGGCACAATGGGAGATGCTGCAACACGTCCTGGTACCCAGCGCTTTTGTTAGTGCAGCACCTGGGAACTCAGCAACTTCACTCTCTACAGCTCCCTGAAAGGAGGGTGTAGCCAGGGGGGGTCGGTCTCTGCTCCCAAGTCACAGGTGACGGGACAAGAAGAAACAGCCTCAAGTGGTGCCAGGGGAGGTTCAGATTGGAGATTGGGAACAATTTTTCCATGGAAAGGGTTCTAAAGCCTTGGAATGGGCTGCCCAGGGAAGGGGTTGAGGCCCCATCCCTGGAGGGATTTCAAAGCTGGGTTGCCATAGTGCTTAGAGCCATGGGTTAGTGATGGGTTTTATCAGAGTGAGGTTGGTGGTTGGACTGGATTATTTTAAAGGTCCCTTCCGCCCCAGACAATTCTATGATAACCAGAAACAGAGCCACGGGTTAGTGATGATTTTTATCAGAGTTAGGTTGATGGTTGGACTAGATGATCTGAAAGGTCCTTTCCAACCCAGACAATTCTGTGATTCTATGATAACCAGAAACGATGGGAAACACCAGTGTTCCTGCCGGGGCAGACTGTGTGGGGCTCTGGCCCAACCACCCCTGCAGGCAGCCTGGCCAGAGAGGGCACCATGCACCCACGCGTGTGTCTCCTCCTCTTACCTGGGATGAAATACTGCTCTTTGGCTGTGGAGAGAAAAAAGCACATCAGCACCCCGAGCGCAGGGCCACCAGGCTGGGGCAGGGCTGAGGACAGCCATGCCACCGGGCCCCCATGACAGGGACGGGGACCAGCTCTCACCTGAGCAGCGGAACTTCTTGCTCTTGATCTGGCCGATGCGCTTGTTGGCCAGGCGGCGGGGGCTGGCACAGCGGGCACCGCTGGTCTCGATGGGGTTGGCACGGAGGAAGTCTGCCAGCCACTTGAGGTTGCAGTCACAGACGAAGGGGTTCTGGGCCAGGTGCCTGTGCCAGGGACAGTGGGTGACCCACGGCTGGGGACAGTGGGTGACTGCCACCTGCAGCCCCGGCTACCCACCGAGATGCTCCCCCCCAGGCACCTGCCTGCCCGGGCATCGGAGCCGGCGTGGGCACTCACAGGGTCTGGATGGCCCGCAGGGAGGTGAAGGTGCCCTTGGCCAGGCTCTGGATCTTGTTGTCATAGAGCGAGAGCAGAGAGAGGTTCTGCAGGTCCTGGAAGGCGTCTGCCCTCACACAGTTGATCTTGTTGGCATTGAGGAGCCTGGCAGGGAGGGGGGAAGGTGATGCTGGGGACCCCCTCCACTGCACCATGGGTGCTGGGGACCTTGGCCCTGCTTCCCCGTGTCCCTGCTGAGCATCCCACCCAGCCACCCGTGCCTTACAGCAACTGCAGGGCAAAAAGTCCCCCGAAGACACCCTTGGGGAGGTCTGTGATCTTGTTGCCATACAGCACCCTGGGAGAGAAAGGCTGGTGTGAGAGAGATGGGGTCGGGGGGAGCAGTGTGGGGCATGGTTCAGGGGGTGCAGCGTCCACCCCACCCCACACCTCCCTGGGGCAGGCACTTACAGCGAGTTCAGTGAGCGCAGACCCTGGAAGGCGTCAGGGGCGATCTCTGAGATCTGGTTGTTGCTCAGGTCTCTGAAACCCAAAGGGAGAAGGTGGCCCGGTCCCCTCTTCTCTCACCACATGCACCCATCCTCCCTCTGGCTCCAGGGGACCACCCCCAGCACCCAATACACAGAGCTGAGAGTAGCTGAGACCCCATCCCAGTGCTGCCATGTGGGGCATTCATGTCACAGCAAGTGTCCCGTGCCTGCTGGAGTCGGGGGCTGCGGGCTCACAGCAGTGACCAGTGGGGTGAAGGGTGTTGGGATTGATGGTGAGCTGGCAGGGGCTGCACACTTACATCCTCCGCAGCTTCTTGTAGGGGGAGAAGGCACCCGGGGGGATGGACTTGATGCCGTTGAGCTCCAGGCGTCTGCGAAGAGAAGGGGGAGTGATGAGGGCTGTAGGGCTGGCCGAGCCCCAGCACCCCACTGACAGGGCTGGGGGGCTGCAAGACCCTCAGGTTTGCAGTAAGTTACCCCCACCAGAGGCACCATTCACCCCAGGGACAACTCGCAGCCTGTACTCAGGGCTTTCTCCATCAGGGAGAGGTGCCATGGGTGGGGGGACCATGCTGGTTGGGGTGGGAGAATCATAGAATCATAGATTCTAGAATCATTTTTATTAGAATTTCATAGAATCATTTTTATTGCTTATTTCTATGAGAGGTGCCATGGGTGGGGGGACTGTGCTGGCTGGGGTGGCACCTCCTCCCTCCCAGCACCCTGGGTCTGGGGGTGGCTGCTGCCTCCCATGTGCTTCATGCAACGTCCCAGCGGGGGCTTTGCACCATAATTGGATTCCCCTAAGGAGATTATTTCTCTATTTACATTTTTAATGCAGCTAAATCCAGGGCTAAATCTGGGCAGCATGAGAGAAGGGCAAGGAAGGCCTGACACCACGTGGGGTGGCTGAACCCTGGGGCTCACCCCCGTGTCCCCACTGCCTCAAGCCACCCCGAGCCCAGCGGTAGCGGTGTGGGGCCATACTCACATCTCCGTCATGGTCTCGGGCAGGTTGGCAGGGATGGCTGTCAGCCCCTTGCCCCGACAGTCCACGATGCCGTTGCTGCAAGTGCACATGGCCGGGCAGGAGCCAGAGGACAAACTGCAGAGCTGGGCACGTGCTGGGTCCGTTTGTCCTGCCAGGGAAACAGCCAGCATGGGAATTGCAAAGAGCTGGGCTGGACGGGTGGGTGGCAGCACCCCAAGAAAGGGACCCTGGTGACAGCTCGGTGTGCTGGTACAGCTCGTGGCACAAGGTGCTGGTGCACCCCAATCCCATGCCAAAGACGTGCAGCTCCAAGGGCACAGACGGATACACCACCATGGATGGGGTGGTGGTGTCCCCACGGTGTCCCTGCACCAGGGATGGTGCTGACCTGAGCTGAGCCTGGGGCGTGCATCCAGGCTGTGAGCTGGGGCACGTGGCGGGGAGTGGAGGTGCATTGATGGGACAGGCTTTGACCCCACCACCCGTGTCCCTGCCCTGACACCCACCGCCTCCCCTGTCCCCCTCACCGGAGCAGCTGAACTCGTTCTTCTGGATCTCGGCCACGTTGAGGCCGCGGAGCTGGGCTGGAGCAGAGCACTGGGTGAAGAGCCCGATGGTGGGACGCTGGCGCAGCCACTGCGAGAGCCAGGCCAGGTGGCAGTCGCAGAAGAGGTGGTTGGAGTGCAGGCGGCTGCGGGGGGACAGGGCAGTCAGCGGCCACAAGACGGCTCCTGCCCACCCCACTGCCCCCACCCGGCTCATCCCAAAGGCTGGGGGCACGCGGAGGGGGACACAGAGAAGCCCAAGAGCATCTGCGCTGGTTGCCAAGGCCACTTGGCAGTGCTTGGGGACAGGCTGCAGAGCTGTTCCCCCCATCCCCTTCCCGTGGTGCTGTCCCAGCACTGGGGACATCCCGCTCTGACCTGGGGGGGGGTCCCTGGGGGGTCCCTCCCGCTCCCCACGGCCCCAGCACTCACAACGTCCGCAGCTTGGGCATGTGGTTGAAGCTGGACACGGGGATGGAAGTGATATTGTTGTTATTCAGGGTCCTGCAGGAAGGCAGAGGGGGCAGGTCAGGGTGGATGGGTCATAAATGGGAGCATGAAACATCATGGTGGCACCAAAAGCCCTGGGAGCAGGGCTCATCCCAAAGGCTGGGGGCACGCGGAGCGGGACACGGAGGAGCCCAAGAGCATCTGCACTGGTTGGCAAGGCCACCTTGCTTGGCAGTGCTTGGGGACAGGCTGTTCCCTCCATCCCCTTCCCGTGGTGCTGTCCCAGTACTGGGGACATCCCGCTCTGACCTGGGGGGGTCCCTCCCGGGGGGTCCCTCCCGCTCCCCACGGCCCCAGCACTCACAATGTCCGCAGCTTGGGCATGTGGTTGAAGCTGGACACGGGGATGGAAGTGATATTGTTGTTATTCAGGGTCCTGCAGGAAGGCAGAGGGGGCAGGTCAGGGTGGCTGGGTCATAAATGGGAGCATGAAACACCACGGTGGCACCAAAAGCCCTGGGAGCAGCAGCACCCACCCACCCCCCAGCACAGGGTAGATGGATGGAGAGGTGAGGGACGGGGACACCCCAAATACCCGAGGCAGGGCTTGCTGCCCTTTCCAGGCTTCTCCTCTCCACAGCCAGCTGCAGCCAGCTGGACCCCTGGGGCAGGATCAGGCCCTGCAGCACTGGCACCAGAGCCCTGCTCAGCCCTTGTCGGGGCCAGGGAGAGATGGCACGCTGGGGATGTCCCTGCAGCGCCTCGATGAGTGGGGAGCACCCAGGGACACCCTCATCCCACATGGGGCTTTGTGGGCTGGAGGCTCCAGCCCAGCCCCTGGCCACTTACAGGACCTCCAGCCCCCGCAGGGCACGGAAAGCCCCGTCCTCGATGCAGCTGATTTGGTTCTTGTCCAGTTGTCTGTGGGAGAAAGACGGAGGGAGCGTTGCTGGGACAGCCCGGGCAGAGAGTGACCAGTGGCTCCTGATGCCTCCTGCCACTGGACCTGACCCCAGACCCCCCGGTGCTCCCATGCCCATCCCTGCCAGCACTCACAGATTCTTGAGGTCGGTGGCCCCACGGAAAGCTTTCCTGGGGATGGCCTGGATGAAGTTCTCACTCAGGTCCCTGTTGAAGAGAGAAGTGAGAAGGCAAATGAAGGGTGCCTGCAAAACCCCGTGCCCCATGGCAGCAGGGCATCCACAGGCAGAGGCACGTCCTGCACCCCGTGATCCCCGAGGGGCTCTGGGAAGCTATAATTTGGCTTCAGCTCCTTGGTTGCCCACTGCCCCGCTGTCTGTCCCGAGGTGAGTCTGGCTCCATCCGTGGTGGCTGCCAGTGGCTGGAGGTCCCCAGGCACCAACTGTCCCCAGCTCTAAGAAGCAGAGCAGCAGGGCACAGCTCGGGGAAAACCCTCCATACTTAAATACCCTGTGACTGCTATAATTACAATCCCCTGCTGATTAACTGGTAATTACACTTGGTGGCTCCAGCAGGCATTCCCATGGAGCCTGCCCTGCACTTTAGAGGGCACAAATAATCGGGTCATTAATTACTTCATCACCACACGGCACCGTCCGTGGAATCACTCACTCTGCGATGCCGTGTGTGTGCCGGGCACAGGGCTCCGTGGCAGGGCTGGCAGGGGCTCAGATGCCCTGCTGTGCTTGGGATGGCTTTTAACACCCACAAAGGCCAAAATTCTCACCACAAAGTAGGGTCGGGGTGGCCCAGCTCAGCCCACCCCATTCTCAGGAGTCCCATGGCTCCCGTCTTGGTGTTCCCTCTCTCACCCTCAAGGCCAGGAGCTCCTCCAAGCTCAGCAGGCACCTGCATCGCCTGCCTCCAGCCCCACACCAGCACAGCCCCACTCCAGTCACTCATGGGACAGGAGGTCGGGTCCCTCCTGGCACAGGGAAACTGAGGCACAGCATGGCATTTGTCTTGTGCGGCAAGTCCATGGGTGAGTGAGGAGCAGGGACCAAGACATCCTGCATGCTTTAAGTGCTGCCCAGCATTACACAGGCCACGTAGACAACCCCAGCCAAGCCCCAAGAGGTGGTTCAGGGTGTCCCTGCATGCGAGGGTTTCACACTCGGTGGTCACCAGCTCTGCTTCAACATAACGAAGCCTGTTCACTGCTGGTATCTCAGGGCAGTTGGGCAGATGGGCAGGGTGGACCCACCGCCTCCCCTGTCCCCCTCACCGGAGCAGCTGAACTCGTTCTTCTGGATCTCGGCCACGTTGAGGCCGCGGAGCTGGGCTGGAGCAGAGCACTGGGTGAAGAGCCCGATGGTGGGACGCTGGCGCAGCCACTGCGAGAGCCAGGCCAGGTGGCAGTCGCAGAAGAGGTGGTTGGAGTGCAGGCGGCTGCGGGGGGACAGGGCAGTCAGCGGCCACAGGACGGCTCCTGCCCACCCCACTGCCCCCACCCGGCTCATCCCAAAGGCTGGGGGCACGCGGAGGGGGACACAGAGAAGCCCAAGAGCATCTGCGCTGGTTGCCAAGGCCACTTGGCAGTGCTTGGGGACAGGCTGCAGAGCTGTTCCCCCCATCCCCTTCCCGTGGTGCTGTCCCAGCACTGGGGACATCCCGCTCTGACCTGGGGGGGGATCCCTGGGGGGTCCCTCCCGCTCCCCACGGCCCCAGCACTCACAACGTCCGCAGCTTGGGCATGTGGTTGAAGCTGGACACGGGGATGGAAGTGATATTGTTGTTATTCAGGGTCCTGCAGGAAGGCAGAGGGGGCAGGTCAGGGTGGATGGGTCATAAATGGGAGCATGAAACATCATGGTGGCACCAAAAGCCCTGGGAGCAGCAGCACCCACCCACCCCCCAGCACAGGGTGGATGGAGGGAGAGGTGAGGGATGGGGACAGCCCGAATACTCCAGGCAGGGCTTTTCTTGCTGCCCTTTCCAGGCTTCTCCTCTCCACAGCCAGCTGCAGCCAGCTGGACCCCTGGGGCAGGATCAGGCCCTGCAGCACTGGCACCAGAGCCCTGCTCAGCCCTTGTTGGGGCCAGGGAGAGCTGGCACGCTGGGGATGTCCCTGCAGCGCCTCGATGAGTGGGGAGCACCCAGGGACACCCTCATCCCACATGGGGCTTTGTGGGCTGGAGGCTCCAGCCCAGCCCCTGGCCACTTACAGGACCTCCAGCCCCCGCAGGGCACGGAAAGCCCCGTCCTCGATGCAGCTGATTTGGTTCTTGTCCAGTTGTCTGTGGGAGAAAGACGGAGGGAGCGTTGCTGGGACAGTCCGGGCAGAGAGTGACCAGTGGCTCCTGATGCCTCCTGCCACTGGACCTGACCCCAGACCCCCCGGTGCTCCCATGCCCATCCCTGCCAGCACTCACAGATTCTTGAGGTCGGTGGCCCCACGGAAAGCTTTCCTGGGAATGGCCTGGATGAAGTTCTCACTCAGGTCCCTGTTGAAGAGAGAAGTGAGAAGGCAAATGAAGGGTGCCTGCAAAACCCCGTGCCCCATGGCAGCAGGGCATCCACAGGCAGAGGCACGTCCTGCACCCCGTGATCCCTGAGGGGCTCTGGGAAGCCCTAATTTGGCTTCAGCTCCTTGGTTGCCCACTGCCCCGCTGTCTGTCCCGAGGCGAGTCTGGCTCCATCCATGGTGGCTGCCGGTGGCTGGAGGTCCCCAGGCACCAACTGTCCCCAGCTCTAAGCAGCAGAGCAGCAGGGCACAGCTCCGGGAAAACCCTCCATACTTAAATACCCTGTGACTGCTATAATTACAATCCCCTGCTGATTAACTGGTAATTACACTTGGTGGCTCCAGCAGGCATTCCCATGGAGCCTGCCCTGCACTTTAGAGGGCACAAATAATCGGGTCATTAATTACTTCATCACCACACGGCACCGTCCGTGGAATCACTCACTCTGCGATGCCGTGTGTGTGCCGGGCACAGGGCTCCGTGGCAGGGCTGGCAGGGGCTCAGATGCCCTGCTGTGCCTGGGATGGCTTTTAACACCCACAAAGGCCAAAATTCTCACCACAAAGTAGGGTCGGGGTGGCCCAGCTCAGCCCACCCCATTCTCAGGAGTCCCATGGCTCCCGTCCTGCTGTTCCCTCTCTCACCCTCAAGGCCAGGAGCTCCTCCAAGCTCAGCAGGCACCTGCATCGCCTGCCTCCAGCCCCACACCAGCACAGCCCCACTCCAGTCACTCATGGGACAGGAGGTCGGGTCCCTCCTGGCACAGGGAAACTGAGGCACAGCATGGCATTTGTCTTGTGCGGCAAGTCCATGGGTGAGTGAGGAGCAGGGACCAAGACATCCTGCATGCTTTAAGTGCTGCCCAGCATTACACAGGCCACGTAGACAACCCCAGCCAAGCCCCAAGAGGTGGTTCAGGGTGTCCCTGCATGCGAGGGTTTCACACTCGGTGGTCACCAGCTCTGCTTCAACATAACGAAGCCTGTTCACTGCTGGTATCTCAGGGCAGTTGGGCAGATGGGCAGGGTGGTCTTGCCCAGCCCCCCAGCGAGATGCTCAGCAGATAATAACAGGAGTCCCATGGCTCCCGTCCTGCTGTTCCCTCTCTCACCCTCAAGGCCAGGAGCTCCTCTGAGCTCAGCAGGCACCTGCATCGCCTGCCTCCAGCCCCACACCAGCACAGCCCTGCTCCAGTCACTCATGGGACAGGAGGTCGGGTCCCCAGCTCCATCCTGGCACAGGGAAACTGAGGCACGGCATGGCATTTGTCCTGTGCGGCAAGTCCATGGGTGAGTGAGGAGCAGGGACCAAGACATCCTGCATGCTTTAAGTGCTGCCCAGCGTTACACAGGCCACGTAGACAACCCCAGCCCAGCCCCAAGAGGTGGTTCAGGGTGTCCCTGCATGCCAGGGTTTGACACTCGGTGGTCACCAGCTCTGCTTCACATAACGAAGCCTGTTCACTGCTGGTATCTCAGGGCAGTTGGGCAGATGGGCAGGGTGGTCTTGCCCAGCCCCCCAGCGAGATGCTCAGCAGATAATAAGCTGTGCTGCCATACAGTGTGACCTGGACAGGCTGGAGAGCTGGGCAGAGAAGAACCTCAACAAAGAACCTTCAACAAAGGCAAGTGTAGGGTCCTGCACCTGGGGAGGAAGAACCCCAGGCACCAGTACAGTTGAGGGGTGGATCTGCTGGAAAGCACTTCTGAGGAGAAGGATCTGGGGGTCCTGGTGGACAGTAAACTCTCCATGAGCCAGCAATGGGCCCTTGTGGCCAAGAGGCCAATGGGATCCTGGGCTGCGTAGGGCAGAGTGTGGCCAGGAGGTGGAGGGAGGTCATTCTCCCCCTCTGCTCTGCACTGGGGAGGCCACAACTGGAATCCTGCCTCCAGTGCTGGGCTCCCCAGTTCAAGAGAGACAGGGAACTGCTGGAGAGAGTCCAGCGTAGGGCAACAGAGAGGATGGAGGGGTTGGAGCATCTCCCTGGTGAGGAAAGGCTGAGAGAGCTGGGGCTCTTGAGCCTGGAGAAGAGAAGGCTGAGGGGAGACCTTCTTCATGCTGACAAGTCTCTAAAGGGGGGGTTGAAGGAGGATGGAGCCGGACTCTTTCCAGTGGTTCCCAGGGACAGGACGAGGGGCAACGGGCACAAGCTGGACCATGGGAAGTTCCACTGCAATGGGAGGAAGAACTTGTTTGGGGTGAGGGTGGCAGAGCCCTGGCAGAGGCTGCCCAGGGAGGGTGTGGAGTCCCCTTCTCTGGAGATCTTCAAGCCCCTCCTGGATGCTCCTGAGTGATGTGCTCTGGGCAGCCCTGCTTTGGCTGGGGAGTTGGACTGGAGGGTCTCTAGAGGTCCCTTCCAACTCTGACAATTCCCTGATTCCGTGATACAGTGCCAGGACGATGCACTTTATGTGGCAGAGGCTGGTGCATCGCCCTGGCACTGTATGCTGGGAGCAGGGGCTGGTGCATCGCTCTGGGTCGCTCCTGGGGAACCAAACCCAACCCGGGTGGCAAAGCAGCATTGCTGGGGCAGAGGAAGGAAGGGAAACTCTGACAATTCCCTGATTCTGTGATATGGTGCGAGGATGATGCACTTTATGTGGCAGGGGCTGGTGCATTGCCCTGGCACCGTATGCAGGGAGCAGGGGCTGGTGCTTCGCTCTGGGTTGCTCCTGGGGAACCAAATCAAACCCGGCTGGCAAAGCAGCGTTGCTGGGGCAGAGGAAGGAAGGGCAGAGGCTGATTTCTAGGCAGATGCTGCCCGTAGAAAGAGTCCGGGTTCCCGGGGAGCTCCCCTGCCAGCAGCCGGGAGCGCAGCAGGCGCAGTTTCACCGCTACCCACGGGGCGGCACTGCCAGGCTGCCCTGCCTGCCCTGCCTTCCCTGCCTGCCCTGCCTGCGCTGCCTGCCCTGCCTGCACTGCCTGTTCCCCCTGTTCCTCCCCCTCAAGGCTACTCCAGCCCTTCCCAGGGCCCTGGATCAACCCCCCCGCCCCCCCAAAGGAATGGGGTTCACCTCCCAAGGGGAAGGACCAA